GGCAGCGCCTAGCGTTTAGGTGGCGCTACGCAGGTGAGGCTGGTTGTAGTTTGACAATATTAATGAGGCTGTTTTTAACATTCAATCAAATAACATATCCAAATAAATGAAATAATAATAACTCATAACATCAAAACATTAAAATAAAAAGGCTCAAATATGAAATACTCAAATGTTTTAATCATCCAAAGATTTAAAGTATCAAAATAGTTTACGGATGGCTGACCAGACGAAATCGACTGACTCGGTGATTTTGCTATTTAGGCGCCCGACCGATTTTTGGGCGCCTAATAGTGAAAGCAGAATGGTCTAGGGGCGCCTAGGTGGGCGTTTAGGCGCCACCTAGGTCAATTGTTACAACAGTAAATTATAGGCGCCACTTAAGCTCGTACCATACTCAGATTAATCACCGTTTGCACCGGGCCATCCTAATTAATGGACAAAGTGCTTGTTAGATTGATTTTTTCATATGAGAGGAGGTTTAAACTCTCAACTTCTCTTAAGGGGTGAGAGTGCATGATTACTTAGAATATTTATTTGAGCATCCACAATAGTGGAGTTATTTTGGGGTTTTTTATGAGTTTTTGTAAGTATGATTAGGAAAGAGAACATGGGGGGAGAGAAAAAAAGAAAAATAAAAATAAAAACAAAAATTGATTTTTTTAAAAATAATAATAATAATATTCAAAGGATAGGACAGGCGCCGAGTTGCTGTGCGCGAAACGCACACAATTTTTCTCTTTTCATTTATTTCTCTTCTTTGGGAAGAGAAATAACTCAACCCCTTGTAGAAGGGCCTTAACCTCTCTCTCTTTTGCATCTTTCTTTGCCAACTTGATATTTTAACCTTAAAAGATATGAAATAACCTTCTATTCTTCTCTGATAATGTTGGTCTTAGAACCCTATAATTCAGCTTAGAAAGGGGGAAGCTAATAATTAGAGAAAGAAAATACTAGTGATGGTAGAGTTGTCGGTAGACTTTTTGTTTAGCTAAAATGCAAAACATTATAAATTCCCGTTATAACATTTTTGTAGCCAAACACGGTTCCCATCAGTCTCACTCAAAAGATTAATAAATACAGAGTCCAATCACTCGTACCATGAATAATGCCACAACTCACAATACCACAACTCCACAAGCAAAGGAAAAAGTAGAACTTCAAAATAGTCTAGAATAGATAGATATTCATGTGAGATTCAGATGCTTTCGTCCTTGCAATTCCCATTAGAAATGTTTAACACTTGTTTCATTCTTAGACTTATAATTATGTTATGAGTTTGAATCTTAAACTTAAAGTCCCTCAGCACTGGTGGAGAAGATCAATCCTGAAATCTGTCTCAATTAGTTTATATGCACTCAAATGTTTGTAGCTAACGCCTGTAACAAGATGAAATTCATATCTCTTTTTTGAGTTAATACCTAAAATCGTCCTCGACTATAGTGGTTTTTCTCAATTTCGTCCTAAACGACTTTGGTGACCTAATATCGTCCCAGACTTTTGTGTTTCGCTCAATTTAGTCCTAGACTTTTGTGTTTTTGCTCAATTTAGTCCCTCATTTGTTATTCTGTCCATTTGATGTTAAATAAATAGACAATTCAGTAATTTTAATATTGGCATCTCTTTACTCATAGATATGTGAACAGCGAAATCTATTTTTTTTACGAATTACTCCCGGAATTACTCCTAAAACTGCGAATATAAAATTTGATTTGCAGGTCCGGGAGTAATTCTGGGTGTAATTCGTACAAGAAAAAGGAATTTCGCTCTTCACAAGTTGAAAGTAAAGAGAGATCAATATTGACATTACTGAATTGTTCCTTTATTTAACACCAATTTGACGGAATAACAAATGGAGGACTAAATTGAGCGAAACACAAAAGTCTGGGACGATATTAGGTCACCAAAGTCGTTTAGGACAAAATTGAGAAAAACCACTATAGTCGAGGACAAATTTTGGGTATTAACTCTCTCTTTTTTCCTATTTGAATTTGAACCATGCATCTTACAACTGTCGTTGATTCTCATATCATGCAAATTTCATTTCTCTACTTCCCCTACTCCTCTATGACATCCTTTCATCCTCTATGACATCCTTTCATCCCTATAGAGCCTGCATTCCACGTACTTTTACGTACTTGCCTTAGCTTCTACGGCCCTCAATCACACTAATATAAATTTCTTCTAATTACTCATTATATTTGAACTAAATGTTCATTAAATATCTGTGGGTTTGGATTATGGTTCATGTGTAATATGATTGTAGGACATTATAAATAAAGGCACACAAAAATCATGAAAGGTGAAAGTTTTCTAATAAGCTTTTTTGTCTTGTAATACTTCTTTAATTATCAACTTGTTAAAATATTATTTTAAACTGACTTACTTACAAGTCTAATACAATAAATGATCTAAACATGATATAACTTAACCACTTCACCAATTATATTACAACATTTAAAAAAAAAAAAATTATACTGTGCACATAAGGGTTGCCTACATTGTACCTTATGAATGATAGAGCATTGCGCTTTACACGTATAATAAGAAAATTATAAGTGTAAGTTTTACAAGAAAAAATTTATTAAATAACAAAATGATAAAGAATCTCAATTTTCTGAATCAATCAAACTATCAAAGCATTATCACGTCCATTAAAGAAAAAAAAATGTGAAAATATATATAGTATTATATTACTCAACAAGATAAATTTAATTAACATATAATATTTTTACGTCATACTAAATGTCACCATCATATATATCATACTAGCATTACATTTAAATATTATATATATCACATGTAATCTAAGCTTTATGAAATGGGTATATCTGTATGAGAGAAGGGTGCAGTTGGTATGATCAATTACTCGAATAAATTTCCATTTAAACGAAAATAGAAAATGACAAGGACTTGCGACCGACAGGATGACATAAGTAAGCATCTATTCGAGCAAATAAATGTTTAGAAGGAATATAAATGGCATTGACAAACGCCCCATTGCTTAGTGCTTTGAAGAAAATCAACTACTCCGTTATAGTAGTATCTACATACTTCATCATGAATCTTTTTATTAATTATGATAAATATTCCCAAGATAAATATGTATTATTATAGTCTCCATTAATATTCACTAGGTACATATATTGATATATAGAACAATTAAAATGGCGGTCTAAATTAACCAACTCTAAATAAAAAAAAAAATAAGGACAAAATATTACAAAAAATTAAAAGAGGATAAAGATGTTCGTAAATGACTGTTTGAATTGCTTGATTATTACCAGAGAAATGTTATAATAGAATAAAGTGTGTCTTAAACTAGAGGAAGAATCAACTATTTATACTAGCTCTTCTAACAACTTCTCTGCGGATAAGGTGCTTCCGAAAAACTCAGTCTTCACTCAATCGACATGCCGGCCAACCTTAGAAACCGATCACACGCCATGCCAAGCATAAGGTCGGGGAATTGGCCTCCATTTCTTAAGCATCAACTATTTATACTAGCTCTTCTAACAATCTCAGCTCCATGAAGATAGGGTGCTTTCGAAAAACTCGATCTTCACCCAATCGACATGCTGACTAACCTTAGAGACTAATCACACCCCATGCCAAGCAAGAGGTCGGGGAATTGGCCTCCATTTCTTCCGATAGCCTCCCCACTTGAGTTTTACTCACTGGGTTATGTAATATGTCCATCATATATATAGGTGCAACATCATGTGAGAACGGATGCTCATATACCTAAGTGCAAATGTAAAAATGCACCATGCATGCAAAATTATTATGTGCAATCTACATTCTTGAATACACTTTTACATATTATAAGAGTAATTTTTCATGGTGTATATTGATCTAGTATATATATGGTCTTGTTTCTGTCAAACACTTGCAAGAATGCACCAGGGAGTGATGCATATGTGCATTTCACCCTGGTGCATTTCTAAACACGTGTGATGTATTTATTCATACTTAATGGTGCATGATTGTATAATATGCATGGCTGGAAATTATAGAATTTTCGATCACGTGAAAGTGATCTTAAATCAAGTCAAAAACAAAAAGTGGTCGGAAATAGCAACAAAGGTTTTTCCGAATACCAAAAGTGGTCGGAACAAGGCTTTCGACTTGATTTAAGATCACTTTCAGGTGGTCGGAAATTTCATAATTTCCAGCAGTGATGTCCCAAAGTTGTGGTGTATTTGTACATTTCACTCTGATGTATTTCTGAACACGTTAGGATGCATTTATATATATTAATGGTGCAATTCGCATAGGAAAAGGGCACAGAATTTGAACTAATATATATGTATATGCACACACGTACGTACCGTCTGTGATCTCTTCTTAAAAGAATCATCCCACTGCAGATTATAAAGCTTATTAGTTATTACTGTGAAATTTAGTTGCCATATATTTAATTTACTTGTTTAAGTGAATGTGAAATAATAAACAACACCGACGCTGGTTAATTATAACGCTGAACTCAACCTTCATTCGTCCTCATTCACTTACCTCTCACTTCATGCACGACTTCTTGCCTGTTTCCCTGCCAACTTTCATTGTTGAGAGGGAAAATGTCAAATACGTATCAGGCTTTTCCCAAATTTTTCCATAATTTCTTTCTTCGCTGCGGCCATTTGTCAACCTTCAAGTTTTAAATTTGCTTCATTTGCATAAGTATGATCAAGATTTTCCACGTTCATTAAGCAGGGAGTGTAAGTATTTCCTTTAGTAGTAAGTAGTAGTGTTTTATATTTTTCATAGAGTAACACGAATTCAGATTCGCATTTTGTAGAGTAAGACTAATCCAGTTGAGTCTTGGCGCCCTAAAACTAATCCAGATGAGTCTTGGTGTTATTATATAGTAAGACTAATCCAGTTGAGTCTTGGCACCCCCGGGGACTGTTAGACCAGATTCGCATTTCGTAGAGTAAGACTAATCCAAATGAGTCTTGGTTAGGTACCGTTCGGGGTACCTCTATCAATTTAGTAGTGTTGTGTTTCTTATTAATATAATCATTGCTTCCATGTCATAATTACAATAGTGCCATTAAGTCCTTTTTTTGTTGGTAGTGCTAGTAGCTCTAACATTCTTGATTTGTAACGATATAGGATTTAGATATTGAGTTCATCCAAATAATAAAGATTCCATTTTTCAGTAGCATTCTTTATTATCTCAGCAAGTCGCAGTCTGGGTTCTCTTTCTTTACCCTGCTTGTGAGGTGTGAAGTGCAGTACTGTTTACAATGAAAGGTGGTAGTGATGAGAGGATGAAAGGGGGCAAGGGGATGAAGTCTATGGGGGAGGGCAAAATGGGAAAGAATAAGGTAATGGTATGTAATGTTAGGATGAAGATGTGGATCATGAGGGCAATCACACTATTGTTGTTGTGGACATGCACTGCACAGCTGACAGCAATTGGAGAAGTTTGGGGTTCTAAGCTGCTCAAGAGTTGGCCTTCTCAAGTTAACATATCTGATCTTCATGTCCAGCAAAAAGCATTTCTTCCTGCAAATAGTGAGCCTCTCTCTGCATTTCCTATTTGAATTTCAGTAATGTTGATAGTAAATATAGTAAAACTCTTCTGTCGGGCCATTTTATCTCGTGTTCTTGTTATTATACCTGCAGGAGTCTACAAGAACAATGGCTACCTTATGGTTTCTTGTAATGGTGGGCTCAATCAAATGCGGGCAGCGGTGAGTTCAGTTTCTGCAGACTGTATAAAGTGTTATTGAATTGAATGGTGTCGTCTTACTGCAATTCCCATATTGTGTGCAGATATGTGACATGGTTGCTGTTGCGCGGTACTTGAATGTGACTCTTATCATCCCAGAATTGGACAAGACTTCTTTCTGGGCTGATCCAAGGTGTAAGAGATATCTTTCCTGTAGAGTGTGCAATCCCCCAATAGTATTGAGTCACCTTTTCATAGTTCTTCCATTTGGCAGTGATTTTCAGGACATCTTTGATGTTGATCATTTCATCGAGTCCTTGAGGGATGAGGTTCGGGTGTTGAGAGAGCTCCCCACGAGACTCAAGCAGAGAGTAGAGCTCGGGATGTTATATGAACTGCAGCCTCTGAGTTCGTCTAACCTTTCCTACTACCATGATCAGGTAAGAACTCACTGACAACTTTGCTGTGATTTCTGTGCTTACAACTAATGACTGAAATGTTGTGTCCTGCAGATTCTTCCTTTGATCCGAAAGTATGAAGTTGTACGCTTCAATAGAACTGATGCACGCCTGGCCAACAACGGGTTACTTCTGGGGATTCAGAAGCTGCGCTGCAAAGTGAATTTCAGTGCCTTGAGGTTCACTTCCCATATAGAAGAACTAGCTCAAAAAGTTATCAAGAGCCTGAGGCAAAACGGTCCTTATCTCGCCCTCCATCTCAGATACGAAATGGATATGTTAGCCTTTTCTGGGTGCACACATGGCTGCAGTGAGGAAGAGGCAGAAGAACTGAGAAGAATGAGGTAACTAAGTTGTGTATATTAATATTAATCTACCTGCAGAAAATCTCTCCTGTTAGTGACCAGAAACCGCCTGCCTGTGTAGATATGCCAATCGTTGGTGGAAGGAGAAAGTTATAAACTCTGTATTGAAAAGGAAGAAAGGGTCGTGCCCATTGACGCCTGAAGAAACTGCTCTGACGCTGAAAGCCCTGGGAATCGATCGCAATTTTCAGATATACATAGCTGCTGGAGAAATATATGGTGGAGAAAGAAGGCTGAGGAATCTGTCAGCAGCATTTCCAAATATGGTAAGAAACAATGAAACACCACTTTGCTTGCAATCTTTCATCCTAATCACGAATTATGTATTCTGAGTTCAAACTGTATACAGGTGAAGAAAGAGAACCTGCTGGGACCTTCGGCACTGAAGTTTTTCCAGGGCCATTTATCACAGATGGCAGCATTAGATTACCTTGTCTCTTTGGAGAGTGATATCTTCGTTCCAACATATGCTGGAAACATGGCTAGAGTTGTTGAAGGCCACCGCAGGTAGCTACTGCTTTCCAGTTTCCTCATTCTGCTGTTAGAATGGTGTGGTTTTCTTGACCTGTTCAAACCTTTTTCTGCCTTACAGATACTTGGGTTTCAGGAAGACTATTCTACTGGACAGAAAAGTTATAGTTCATTTGACAGACCAATATAACGCTGGCAATATAACCTGGGATATGTTTTCAAATAGCATGAAGGAAACTCACAGAAACAGGATGGGGAAACCAAAAACTCGACTCGTGATTACTGAGAAACCAAAGGAAGAGGACAACTTTTATGCCAATCCACAAGAGTGCTATTCACATATTCTTAGCTAAATGTTCTGCATTGTACAAATCTTTCGTGTGTGTAGTGTTGGGAATGTAGTGTGTGATACACAGTTGCCTGTAGCTGCAACTGATGGTCATTCACACATTAATAAGATGAGCAATATCATAAGAGATGGTGAATAATCAACCTCAAGATTCAAGAAAGAGAAATACGGCATCTTGTATTTAAAGGGAATCCATCCTTTTGTACATAGAATATTTATAAAAATAAGTCTAACCTATAAACCTATTTTGAGAAAACTTTGGCAGCCCAGGAGAAGAAAGGGAAATAGCATGTACATTCAGAGCGGTGCTGACTAACTCTATAGTCTACCTGGAAAATTGTGAGACACGGGAGATTAAGGATGTGTGCGGGGAGGGGATAAAACTCCAGATTATCTCTGTTCTCTTCTAAGCTTTTTATGAGCATGATCATAAGTCTCGCAACCACCTAATGCAGAAATGGATGTTTCACTACTCGTGCGTTTACCAATATCAAGTTCTACTGAAACACTGGCCTGTGACATATCCACTCCCATTGATACCAATGTCTGGTTTAAGGTATTCAACACCCTGTTCAAATAAAAAGAAACAATGTCATACAAATAAACAATTGAAAACTACGAATTAAAACTCAAAAATAATATACTACACGGACAAGAAGTCATTGTAGACAAAACATATTTTTCACCTCTGAGAGTACTCAATTGAGAGGCTATCTTCCCCACATTCAGTTTTTAGCTCTTCCTGGTCATTCTGATCAAAGATTGGCACATCAGACTGAGTCTCTTCTTGTTTATCAGCCCAATCAAATAACTGTGCCTGAGAAGCCAACTGATCGGTGTAGGAAGAAGATCCATGAGAAGGTTGGACAGATACACCATCAAATAAACTTGGCTGCAGTGGTATGTTGAAGGGGATTGCTTCATTAATTACGGTATGAGATTCATCCATTGTTTTATAAACGGCAGCACCATTCAAATCAGATTCTACGGAGTCATGTGCATTAGCAAGTAACATTGAGTTCACAACAATATTGTCCTCATGAGCAGAGCCATTCCTGATCAGCTGAGACTGTTCAGTGAAGATTTCAACAGGCCCTGAAGCTCTTCTCTGTTGGCATAAGATGAGAGGTTGATATCATATTTGCTTCAGAGAAAGCAAAGCTTCAACTACCAAGTAGAATGCATAGTTTACTTCTAAATACAGTACTAAACTCAAATCTGCCTTAAAAATTAAAAATAAAAAGGGAGAAAGGAATTAAGCCAGCAGTCTCTAAAGTTCCAAGTTCATTAAAAACTATAGAAGACTTATACTCAATTTGTATCCTTGAAGTGTGGAGCGCACTTGTTTATGGGAGCTGAATTTAAATTGTCAAGAAAAAATCATGATAGCTGAATCAACAATTAACGTGAATTGACTATGATGTGTAACAGATATTTTACCCATGGCATCAACTTTGAGGGCTCTGGACTCCAACCTTGGTATGGTCCTTCATAAATCTGTATCTTCTCCTTTAAAAACTGGATGTACTCTATAACCTGCAAATACCAAAAGTATCAAAGTGCCTTGTCCTACAGTTATCAGATAGACTAAAGACTATTAGCTGAATGCTGAAATGTAAACAAGCAAAGTGTAAAAGTGCACCTCCAACAAGAATGAAGCTTTGTCTCTCTTCTGATCATTCTCAGGTATGATATCCCTCAAAGTTTGAAATCTGCAAAAAAAATTATTACAAGTGAGCTCTAATGCAATCATGAGTATGACATGCATCCAAAAAAGCCAATTCAACAAATTAATCCATGAGAACATGTAAGAATTAAGAGTAACAGCATAATAGTATTTTTTTTTTCAGAAGATAATGTTTGGTTTGAGTAGTACTGATTCACATATCATGATTGGAAAAATTAGTACTTTAAATTATTTTATGTAGTTAAATGGCTATTCAAAAGGACAAGAAAGTGAGAAAAAAGGCACTAGGTGAAAACATGTGTTACTTTATGTCCATACCATTTTTTATTAATTGCAAGTGAATGGCAATACATCTTAGAAAACATCTTTAATCCACGTTCCATGTGGATACTACAAAGATTGAACTATGCAACAGTTTCCTCAACATGAAATATAGATGAAAATCATTACACCATGCAGCCAAGAGCACCTCAAAGTTATACAATGATTCCATCTAACACCATTGCAACAAAATATTCCTAAACATGGAGAAACACTACTTGGAGGCAGAAAGAGCTCATTTGATAGACTGGAAAACTCATTAACCTAACAAGAATCAAACAATTTCCAGTTAAAAACAACCAAAAATAAGCTTGCCTCTCGTTGATTTTGCTCCTCCGGCGCTGCTCTGTCTCAGAATGCTTGGACCGAAGTGTGTTTGCCTTCGGATCACTGTGCCTCCCTTCCATTTTAACTGCAAACATCAGAATTGCAAAAACTTCAATAGGAAAACACTCGTAGCAGTATAGAGCATAGACTAGACGTATATATTATGTACGGGAACCATCAAGAGTTCTGGAAGAAAATTCCATGTCGTCATCTTCATCCCCTTCATGGTGACTCTTCACAGTTCTCACCATTTCTAGTCCTTCAGCCAAATTTCGGAAACCGGAATTAGAATTCAGTATAGGAAACATACAGCCATACATGTATATCAGTGTATGCACATAATGGTGAGGTGAGAGAAACCTGACTTGTGACACAATGACGGCCGATATGAGCTAGCGACGGTCAAGAAGAGGCTCCGGCGAAAGGCAAAGTCCGGCGACTGAGAGTGCTGTGGATTCTGTAGAAATACTTATATGCGTACATAACGGTGTGCGTGTCTCATGTCTGTGTAATTCTGTATGTATATATTGTAAAGAATTGTTTTCTGCAGATGATTATTTGGAGCCCTAGGCGAGGATCTCTCTTCAACAAATCTACTCCGCTGTTGCTATGTGCTAACGTGCGCCAGTGTTATGCCCATCCAGAAAGTGCACCCCTTTGTTGGCCCCCCACCCCCGCCTAAGAACATCTTCATTAGTTAGATTTTTTCTCCCATTTTTTTATAACATGAGCATCTTTTATCTCATTTAATCACAAAATAATTTTTTATTAATTCTAAAAAAAATTAATTTTTTATGAACCTACTATTTTATTCCATTGTATCTTAGTTATTTCTTTATCTATTAGTATTCTAAAAATTATAATTTTAATTATAATTATAAATTTAATAACAATATTATAGATAATTATAAATTTAATAATAATAATATTATTATTATTAATTAAGAAATTTTAATTTAATTAATAATTATAAATTTAATAACGATATTATATTAAAAAATTAAATTACAATTTTTTAAAATGTTAATAAAATTAAATTAAAATTCTAAAAGAATAAAAACAAGAAGCCGTTGTAAATGCAACGGTAAATAAAAGGAAAAAAAAAAAAGAATAAGCCTTTAATTGAGAGTGGCCGCCAACATTACACACAAGCGAGCACTGAGACGTCCTTGTCACTTTTTTTTTAATCTATAAAGTTTTTGTTTTTGCAGGAGAACGATCTCACAAAAAAATCACCCCACATTAGTGAAATACCAACACATTTGTTATGTAGTGTTCCAAAAACCATGGAAGATCCCCTATTGGGGATGCTTTAAATCATTTTGCCATTTGTCCATTTTCCATTTTTGCCCACGAAAGACAAAAAGTTATACTACATGTATTCCCAAATCTTACTCCATCAGATTTACTTCCTGATGTGGTGGGCGCTAATATGTTATTTTCTTCATTGGGTCTTGTAAAAGTTTCTATATCAAAATTTTAAGTGTGTGAGTAAAAGTTGAGAGTAGAGAAATGAGGTACATATAGTATTTTCCAAAGGCATCTTCGCCTCAAAGGTGCCTACACACCGGTCCAATAATATTGCAAAGAGATAAATCACGATGACTTAGGCCATTATGTGGGAGGACTAGTGTCTGCTGCCCACAAGGAGTCACCTTGAGTCATTATTGTGTTGACCACAAATAAAAAGTACATTGTTTATGCACATAAAATACATTATTTGAGTACTGAATAAACATTATTTTGTATAATATCAAATAATGTACATTCAGTATAGAAATAATATACTTTTAATATATTAAAAATGTACATTTGAAACGTGGCTTTGGAGCTTATCGGGATGTGGTTAAATAGTACGGAGTAAATGTTTACATACTTATCACCAATTTAAGTAGAATAAGACAATCAAATAGCTATACAACTATATAGTTAATCGACCTTGATTTACAATAAGTCAGGTACCAACACATTGTTCTTTTTTGAGAGTACCAACACATTGGTCTTTATTCACTATTATACTAGTTTTTTTTACGCGCTTTGCGCAAATGGGATAATGCCCAATAATTATTTTTAAATAAGTATTTCAAAGTATATCAATGCAATATTATATAGGAGATGTTCATGCATAGGTAAATAAATGTTGTCAATAGAGGATGCTAATAAATAATTCAAAATATATGGTTACAATAGATATTAATATAATGATATAGTAAAAATTAACTTACAAATTTCTTTAGAAGTTTTCATGCATTGATAAAATTTTGATGTGTAAACTTGTTCAATTGGAGCTAATAGGATGTTAACATTGTCAATTATTTGGAAAATGATCGTCCTACCGTTTTAGAGTCCACGTGTAATTGTATTTATGATCAACAACTTTGTAGTTAGGCCGCACATGTCTGACAATGATGTAAGAACAATTTTGTTTGATAAAAAATAATAGTATAATATTTGTAAAGTAATATACAATTGTACCATTATAAAAAAAATACCAAAAATATTAATACCATAATGGCCTAAATCATTTCAATAATGCAAAAGCATAATTGAAATATTATGTTTTGTTCTAAATAATCAGATGAAGATTAATTAAACAAAAAAAAAAAATACTTAACCTAAATTTGATTTTTTTTAAAATAAAAAATTCATGAAAATCAAATAATTTTAAAGTAGTTCCTGATTTATAATATTTAATGCTCAACTTTGAATGTTATGTATTTAGTCGAGCTAATTATTTTATCAAAGTTTATTTTAAATTTTATATTATATTTTTTTAATACTTTTTTTTTTTTTGAAAATTTTATGCGGTGCTTCATTAGAAAAATGCTGAAATAATGTCTGGTGGGTGAGTATCCCAGTACATAGTATCAGGTTGCTGATAAGCCGTAGTGGCTAAAGCATGAGCTAAATAATTGTCCGATCTAGAAATATAATTAAAAGAACATGAGTGAAAATAAACGGCAATTTGCCTGCAGCTATCAATGGCATAGCCAACGTAAGAGCGAAACGCAGTGGTTGATGATGTAAGGTAGCGTTGTAGTGTCAAACAATCCGTGTAGATCTCAATATTCTGTTCACCTCGATCCTTTAGCCATGATAAAACTTCCTTACACGCCAAAGCCTCAGCCATAAGTGGTGACGTACAGGCCGGTAGCGGCGCGGTTAGTGCCGAGATATAGGCTCCATCTCCATCTAATAAAACGGCCCCTACAGTTGCATTTCCTGTCTCGTGTAGATATCCCGCATCGACCCTGCATCTTCTCACTGGCGGCACAGAGGATCCGGCGGCGTCGGCAGCACCGCGGCCGGCGGTGGGACTCGCCTGGGCAGCGTGGCGGTTTTCTGTCGGCAGCGTAGCAGTGGCAATGGCAGCCACGGCTGGGCGGGACTGAGTCCATGCGGTCTTGGCTGCCGCTGCGGCTCTGAGTAGGGACCCCGGGCGTGGTAAAAATGCCTCCCAAACTGCACCATTTCGAGCTTTCCAAATATTGTATAGAATTGATGCTGCATATAACATTCCATCAGAATCTAAAATATTTAGAAGTTCCCTAAACCAAACATGAAAAATATCCGTGACAATATTGGGGATTGTAAGGTTGGATTGATCCCAAATGTTTCTTGCAAAATCACACAAGACTAATGCATGCATTGTATTCTCATGTGATATCCCACACATAACACAATATGGGTTCACCTCCACCCTCTTTAAAAGCAAGTTCGTAGTTGTAGGCAAAATATCACAAATAGCTCTCCAGAGGAACATTTTCCACTTTGGTGGAATTTTTAGTCTCCATAAAGCTAACCAATTAGTAAAGGGGCCTTGATTATTCTCATAATCTCCCACCAATCGTCTGTACCCGCTTTTCACAGAATATAATCCTCTCGGGTCCCCGTACCAATACCATGCATCATTATAATCCCGGGATACAGGTACTCTCATAATTCTCTCGACATCCGTAGGTTGAAATAAATCTGATAAAATTTCATTATCCCATGTACCAGTTTGTTGATCTATTAGCCCCACTACTCTGGCCTCTCGTAACTGTATAGGCATCTCTGTTTGTATCATAGGGTCCTGGTCATCCAGTAACCATGGATGGGTCCATATAGATGTAGTTTCCCCATTCCCAATTCTTCGTCTGACCCCACTACAAATTATGCTCTTTGATGCCATTATACTCCGCCAACAAAAACTGGGATTATTTCCTACCTGCGCATCAAAGAAAGTATCCCTGGGAAAATATCGGCTTTTGTAAACACGAGCTACTAAGGAATCAGGCTTAGTGAGCATTCGCCATGCCTGTTTTCCCAACATAGCTAGATTAAATGCACGTAGGTCCTTAAAACCCAATCCACCATACTTCTTAGGAACACATAGCTTGTCCCAAGCCTTCCAGTGAACTCGGTTGTCCGTCCCAGAACCCCACCAATATCTATTCATCGTTCTTTCTATAGCCGTGCATACTGATATAGGTAGCAAAAAAACACTCATTGAGAAGGTAGGCATAGATTGTGCCACACTTTTCAACAGTATTTCTTTCCCTGCCTGAGACAATAGCCTTTTATTCCACGACCCAATTCTTTGGCGTATTTTATCCTCAATATATGCAAAAGCTGCCTTTTTATTCCTACCCACAAGGTAGACCCAAATACTTGCCAAAGTTTGGTGCCTGCTCCACCCCCAAAACTTGGGCCACACTTTCCCTATCCACATTACTCGTATTCCTGCTATAACAAATACTCGACTTGTGGTAGTTAACCACTTGTCCCGATAGATCCTCATATACAGTCAGGGATTTCTTTATCTCATTAGCCTCTTCCACATTAGCCTTAAAGAATAAAAGGCTATCGTCCGCAAAAAACAAATGAGAAATCTGAGGGGCACCTCTTGCTACCCTACATCCATGAATTAATCCCGCTCTGTTAGCCTGTATATTTTTTTAATACATTTTAACATATTTATAATATATGTTTAACAATTATGCCAACTATACTTGGGATGAGGTTCGAACCTAAGACCTTATATAAATTAAGAGTATGTTAATAATAATAAATAGTTAACGGAATATGTTACTAAAGTTTAAACTAACGGAATTTAGGGTTATTTAAGGGAAGAAAATAATATAATAGAGGGTAAATAAGGAAAATCATTAAAAGATACTAAAATCAAAATAATATAAACCATTCATTTTAAGAAACAATTAGTACCGACATTTTTTTGTTCCAGTTAAGGGCCTAACATTATTCGCTCTTTATTATATTTGTATTTGTATGTATGTATATGTAGATATAGATATTACCACCTACTTTGACCGGTCTCGCAACTCATCCGTGATCTACCCGTCGAACCGTATTTCCTCGTCCCCATACTATTTGTAACGTCAATATGTATGTACGGAGTCGATATTAGTTTGTAAGTTAGCAAATTTAAAATGTTAATCGACACCTATTAGTCTTATATTTGATATATACTATACAAAAGTAAATAATGAAGGTGTATTTATGTGCAATAACCCACAAACCACACACAAAGGTAAATCGCTCTAGGTGCGACAGAAGTACTAGTAAAAATTAAACTTATAATTTTCTGGTACAAGAATAATGTTTCACCCACTCAATTACCATTTATGAGCTATCTCTACATTTTTTGACTAGGAAGTATGATACCAATCAACACCATAGCATTTTGCTATAAAATATAAATGTGTGACACAACTATCATATTAGACTTGATATCGAAGTTAGATCCATGCTAAAGTTTAATAAAACAATCGGTAAGCGAACAGTTAATATATTGGTAAAAAATAAGATAATTGACATTCTCAACTTTAAATTATATATCTATTTCTTGGATTTCCTACTGCTTTATGACACTGAAGTCACTACTTCACTGAAAACTCAATACTCTATCTATTGTGTAAACCTCTCAAGAAATGCAAACTCCAATGAGCCTGAAGAAGATGAACACAACCATATCTCTGCACTCAAGCTTGCAAAAAGGGAAGGATATGGTTGAATAATGCTAACAGTCATCGATCTGGACTAACGTTTACGCTGGCCATGTTTTCATAGTTCAGCTTCCTCATTCCTGAATCTCAATAATACTCGACATTCTTGAAAAATCATCTTGGGCGAAAGACGAGGTATCTTTCTTCACGGTGTGTCTCTGTTTGATCTTTAGTATAGCGTGGGAAACGTCTCCTATGGGGGGTCGTTTTCTCGGAGTTTTGTGCAAGCACTTGTGGGCAATTGCAGCGAGGTTCCTTACTTCTTCCACATTGCATGTCCCGACGAGTTGCTTGTCAAGAATCTCATCGACGCCGTCTGGACTCATAGCAGCCTGTCGGAGGGCGGTGAGAATCGGGTGAATGAACAGAAAGTAAAGCGATGGTTAGTTGGGCTGAATTGAAGAGTGAATAACTTACGAGATTCACGTATTCCATCAAGTTCTGGTGTGGATGGATAGCTGTGATGAGCTCGAAGAGGATAACGCCAAAGCTATAAATGTCGCTCTTCGTGGTAAATTTGTTTGTGGATATATATGCAGGATCTATGTAGCCAAATGTGCCTTTAAGACCTGAATTGCTGCCATCCTTGACTTCTTCCCTTGAAAGCCCAAAATCAGCAACCTGGTTATGCAGGCAAAAACAAGGTTTTGCAGTAAAATGAAACCAACATCATAGCAAAATAGTACTTCTCTAGTGTTGGGCGTCGGCCGAGTGGGCCCAATTCAGCTCCTGCTCGATTCGAGACGTGGCGCTGTGACTTACCATAGAGGGATGTGGTTAAATGGTTAATGTCCACCTACTTATCACCAATTGGTTTTAAGTAGGATTTGACAACCAGATAGTCAAAGAACTTTGTGATTAAACGTGCTTGACTTATAGCAGTCACGGGAAGTAAGCATAATGCAGCGCTGAGGTCCATCATCTAGTTCTCTTGGTCCCCGGTTTTTGCATTTGTAAGACACAAACAAAGGTTGTCTACTGACTGACATTTGCATTAACGTTTTTCTAGTGACTGACCTTAGCTCTCATAGCATGATCGAGCAATACATTAGCAGACTTCAAATCTCGATGTATCACTGGTGGCACTGCCTGTTCAAAGAAATAGCATTAACGAGACTATCTATCGTCTTCAGCACGGTTCAGTGAGGTTAAAGACAACGCAATCTCAGCCTACCCCATCATGAAGATACTCGATGCCATGTGAAATATCAAGAGCAATTTGCAGTCTTCCTTCCCAACTCAAAGTTCGTTCTGTGCCTGAGTGAAAGCACAAAAGGAAAGCATTGTCAATGAGTAACAACTAAAAATTGTAAATTCCAAACACAATCGTCTAAAGTTAGACAAAAAAGAGTAAAAGACAATCATTCTACTTACTATATAAAAGGTTCGCTAAACTTCCATTGCTCATGAATTCATAGATCAACATCCGTTCACCTTTATCCACACAATAGCCAACTAAATTCACCAAATTACGGTGATGGAGCCTTCCCAGTAGCGTAACCTGCAACACTCTAGTAAGCATTACAAACACTTTTTAAGGTTTCCTAGATACACATAATTGAAGCATGTGCTCCATCTCAACTAAAAGCTCAACACGCTCCCTCATGTGTGCGGTGGGTTCCAAGCAACACGTGGACCGTAGAACACATGACCTTTGGCATGGCTCTGATACCAAATTAAAGCATGATCTTCATCTCAACTAAAAGCCTAAGCTAATAGTTGGATTGCACATTAATGGCTATATGCTCAACACACATTAAGATAATACCTCTGTCTGGAACTCTCTTTCCCCTTGTTTTGAGTCGGTAGCAAGAACCTTAACAGCTACCACTCCACCAGTAGGCATTGCGGCTTTGTACACGGGACCAAAAGACCCCTGCCCTAGAACGGTTGTAAAGTTCTGTGTGGCTTTCTGAATGTCCCTGGAGAGTCACTTAACGTTAGTTTAACTTTCAAAACTGCATATATACTCCAACTTAAGCTTATTGGCCTATTAGAAAGGAGACATACTTGTAAGCATATCTAAGTATGCCAGATGCTGAAGCGAAGCGATCTTTGCTAGGGTGACTCCACCAGCTTTGCTGAGAACTTTTGGCAACATTTTCTGGTCCCTTAGCGCTTATAGACGCACTTAAGTCAATGCTCACACCAAAGCCATTTGCACGAATTGGAAGAGTGGCTAGAGACCGCTCATTTGCGCAACGACGAAGATGGGCTCGTTTTTTATACCAATAGACACAAAAGAACGCAAGCGATGCTAGAAGAATTCCAACCGCCACACCAACTGAGACGCCAATAATAACTAAATCCGCTTTATGGACCATTCTAACGCTTTTTTCCCACAAGCAGGCAATGAGCTCATCTTGCAGGGCTTCGCTAAAGTAAAAAACAAATAAACATGGATTGGGAGTTAACTCCACTATCCAAGAAGGCCAATAAACCACTCCGCCCAGGAGTCAAACTTGGAACTTTGTGATTATCGAGCCAACAATCTGACCAATTTGACAGGGGGTTGCCTTACTTTGCTTTCACTTATGAGCTGCACAATATATAAAAGCAATTTACCAAGAATTGTTAGGTCAAATTATAACTGGCACCAGTTGGATCAGAAATTCCCACTCTTTATTCTCCTCCTGGCCATCATCACAAGCTCAATTCCCAGTTACCTCAGAAAAATCTAGTAAATCATCAAACTTATTCAAACAAGAACTGTTTTTTCCAACACCCATCAACCCAGAAAAGCAAACAAAAAGAAAAACACATAAACCAGCAGAAAATAACAGATATCACCCACCATAGAGCAAACAGAAACAAAGAAAATCCAGAGAAACAATAACTAAAATTTGAACAGAAACACAAAAGATGATCAAGAATCGAGATAAACCCAACACACTAACATACCAAATCAGCTGACAGAGCAGAGAGCCATAAGATCACTGAGCAAGAAACGTTAAAGAAGGCACGCGGGTTTCCTTAAACGATGATCCAGAACCAGAAACTCTCGAACTCGTACTAAATCTGGCAAATGATGAAGAACATTATCCCGCTTTTTCTGGCTTCTGCTTTGGCGATGACAGATGGTGTTGGGTGAAGGACTGGGGGGTTGGGCATTGGACAGGGACACAGCGGCGATAATTACTAGCCGGTTTGGATACATAAGCCACTCCGCCTGCCTCTTCTGCATTTGGTCTGTTTTGACATTTCTAATGTAGGAGTTGATAGTTTATACTCAAACTAATCATAACAGGAGTCGTATCTTATAAATTTGAAACTTTCCGTTTACATTAATGCAAGTTGGTTATGATTTGTGAATTCTTTAACATTTAATAATGTATTTGACTTTGGCGGTGATGGGATATAATACGTGATTGGTCCAATTGACGGTCAATAACGTCTGATATATACTTAATCAATAATCAATAAGGTATGTGTTTTAACTTCTTCTACTGTACTATCAATCCGTAGGCTCGAATTTACAACCTTCCAAATGGAAGTCCAATCCGGATACCATTAGACCACATAGTCCTTGTTGCTAAATGCAATATAAATATTGAATTTTTTAAATCTCGAACTAAAGATAAGATTGCACAATAGAGCAGGCTTTAGTAAGATATATTGAGAATATAAATAGTAATCCCAAGTCATATTATATAACAACTTCTTGTTATTTTCTTTTCACCTGTATTAACTCTTTGTGACGCTAATTTTATAATTCATTTGGTACTTCTTTTAGACAAATTATAATGTGCATTTAAAAGTCTATTTTGTAATATGGACATTGATATTGATTCATTTGTAGTACTATGAGTTTATATTGAACCCACATACACTAAAAATGATTTTGTAATATATTAAAAAACAATGAATTTACTAAAAATGAACATGTAATATTTTCAAAATAAGTATACTATACGAACGTGTAATATAATATACTAAAAATTTGCATAATAGGTATATGTTTTAAAATGGACCCCTTCCAGTATATAATGATTGCTTCTTTTATACCTTAGATTAACAATATTCGTTATTTGTTTATTTCTTTTATACATTAAATTAACAAAATTCGTAACTTATTTTTTCACGAATACAAACAAAAAAAAAAAAGACATTTTAATAATTATATATAATTGTTCTAATCAATTAAAAGAGAATATAAATAATACTCCAAAATTGTCAAAAATGTAACAATTCAAAGACCACAAATGTGATTGTCTTAAAGAATAGTATACAAATTACAATATGTGTTTTGTAATTTCTAATTAAGACAATTGAGGGAGGAAAAAAAAAAAGAATGGCATCATTGACTTGACTCAATCCATTGTTTGATTTCGGACAGACTAAGGCGAAACAGTTGGCAACTAGATTTTGTCGTTATTCTGTTCCGGACACAAAATCAAATCAAACGCTCCATAGACCAGATACGAGAAAGTTAAGAAATTCCAAGAAGAAAAATCCAAATTCAACCGCCGTCAGCGGCGGTGACCGGAACAGTAAAAGCGGAGATAGCGGCGAGCGGTGGCGCACCGGCGAGTGAAAAACGTGTAATGAATGGCGCAAAGTGTAGCCACAAAAACAAAATCGCTAGAAGCGGACACCGCCCACTAGGCTACTGGTCCACTACCTCTGCTTCGCTGCTCGTTCTCGTCGTCTTCTTCGTTTCTTTGGCCGTTTCACTACATTCTCTGCATGCACTCATTCAATGAGCTTTGTTTTCTTTCCAGAAAAAAAGAAAATCCTTATTAGTTTCTTTCACTATGAATGCTGGGCTGTCACGAGTCCAGGGAGACTGAGAGGCGAAGGGAGCAAAATGGTGTCGAAGAAGATGAAGTTGGTTGCTTTAGTAGGGCTGTTTGTCTCTGCTTTCTCTCTGCTCACCCATATTCGTCTAGCTAGACGTACTTATCTGGGTGCCATTTCAGACTACCGGCACTCTTCCCTCACCGTCTTCTCTTCCCGCCGGCGAATTTTTGACAATGCAGACCTTCTCAAGGCGGTACTTTTCTTCCAACCCCATAAACATCTTTTCTTTAGTCTTTCTAGTGCTTTGCTCACTGTTTCATATAGACAGTATTTGGGAGAAGAAATCAATGATCAAATCTTGGTAGCGGCAATATGGAGATTATAGTTGGCAGATCCCTTGTGCACTGGCATTTGGCCATGTTTGCTGAGCCCGTAACTATTTACATAATCTCAAATGCTTTGTCGCGCCAGGGTGTGGGACCAGTCGGCATTTGGTCATGTCTGCTGAGCCAGTGACTATTTACATTATCTCAAATGTTTTGTCGGGTCAGGGTGTGGGGCAGTTGTGGTTAGGGAGAAGATTGTAGAGATAAATCATGATCACTTAGGTAGGATGACCAGCCGGTGCCCAAACCCCTACCACTGGCCCCACACTCCAACAAGATTGTGGAGTGATAAATTACGGTAAATGAGCAATCTATTAGTCGGGAGGATCGGTGCCAGTGCCCACAAAGAGAGGTCGCTGCCGAGACTCGATCATACATCTTTACCCATAATCTGTCGTTTAGAAACCAACTGAGCTACTTGTGTGGACTTGGGAACATTTCTCTTCACATTATCATTTGCTGCATTGTACTATTATAGATTAGATTAGATTAAGTTTACTGTTTCACTGTCTGATGGTTGATTTCTTGATTTTCTGGTGTAGAATCCTACTTACAGAAGACTGTGGGGTACAGTAAGGCCTCTTGAATCATTATACCCTGATGCCAATCCAGGACAGAATTATGCAGGTCATGCCATTACCATTTTGTAATAATAATGTTCCAAAGAAAACTAGATTGAATCTGAACATTAAGGTTTCTATCCTATCTGACAAATGGGCTTTGCAATGTTTTCAAGTGAAATCTTAGACTATTGTGAACTTCTCTTATGTTTTTCATTACTCTTCTTATAATGTTTCAATGTTGGCCTCTGTAACAGCTCCTGAACCACAATCAACTGGGTTCATCTTTGTAAGGATAAAGGGGGGTTTCCATGAGATAAGGAACTCGGTGAGAATATTCAATATTGTGTGTGGATTACGGTCTTCTCTCAATTATATATTTTCTTGCTAAAGAGTTCCATATTTACAGATTTCTGATGTTGTTGCAATCTCGCGGCTTCTCAATGCTACACTCGTCATTCCCGAGATCCTATCAACCACAAGCAGTAAAGGAATCAGGTATGATTATAATATGTTAGTGAATGTATAATTTAGATCATTTTTCAGTATTGTAACTCATTCATTAACTGTATTTTGCAGCTCACAGTTCAAGAGTTTCGCCTACCTCTATAACGAGGATCGTTTCATGGAGGCTTTGGCAAAAGATATAACCATCGTGAAGGCCCTTCCACCGAGCCTCAGAGATGCAAGGATAAAGAAAGAGATTCCTTCGTTCAGAGTGCCCTTCTCGGCATCTCCTTACTATTACCTGCACCGTGTTCTCCCAGTGTTGACTCAACGTTCAGTAGTCGAGCTTGTTGTTTATGATGGCGGATGCTTGCAGGTAAACTGGAAAAACGAGATTTCCGTCTTATTATTGCATAACCAGCAGTTACCAAATAGCATAAACTTTTGCATATTGACTTTGATGTAACTGGATATAACCTAGACCGAACTGCCTCCCGATCTGCTCGAGTATCAAAAACTGAGATGCAGGGTTGCTTTTCACGCACTAAAGTTCCGAGAAGAGGTCCAAGAACTTGCAAATAAAATTGTGAAAAGGTAATATTATATCCCAACTATTTGTTTTTCGAGATTGAGTGAGACAGTAGTGGATGCTGGGGCCCACAAAAAATTGGTGAAAAGACCACAACTGTTGAGGTTGCTCTTATATTAACTCTGCATACTTTGGTATACTTGCAGGTTAAGAGCTTTGGGACAGCCCTATATAGCGTATGATCCCAGTATGACTCGAGATGCTTTGGCGTATTATAGCTGTGCAGAACTTTTCCAGGTATTCTTGCAAATGGCAACCTACCCGCGTTTGATTATTGTTAAGAGTCCACATTAATAAAATAAGAGAAGATATATGGGTTTATAAGGCCATGAGTTATACTAGCTAATTGGTTGGATTCAATCTTTTAGTGTGTTATTAAATTACTAAGGTAAAGAATCTAATGTGGCTAGAGCATGTACCAGGATATACATACGGAGCTCATCCGGCACAAGCGATTGTGGATGATCAAACGAAGCCTTGCGAGGGGAAACTTTTCAGTAAATTCTTTTAAACAACGTCTAAAAGGCTTGTGCCCGCTTATGCCTGAAGAGGTAGAAAAGCTTCTTCCCGTTATCATGCCTCGTTTAAAGCAGTAGAGTTGCGTGCGAATTCTTAGTCTTAGTCTAACCAAGTTGCACAGAGCCATCAATGTATTGAAATCTTGTACAGATACTAAGTATTAATTACTCAGAATGGCTACCAAATAGCAAATGCATCTTTTGAGCAGGTGGGAATTCTTCTTCGGGCATATGGTTACACATCAGACACAACGATTTATATATCGGGTGGAGAGATCTTTGGTGGACAGAAGAAGTTGATTCCTCTTCATGCAATGTTCGAGAATGTTGTTGACAAGACATCCTTAAGCACTCCATGGGAATGGAGTGAAATATATGGCCGTGAGACCAGCCTTATTGACAAATATTCGCCTCCACCTTCGGTTGGTAAATATACAAAGTTCCATGCTTGGGAAAACTCTGGCCCGCGTCCTCGACCTCTTCCACCTCCCCCCAGGGAACCTAAACTTTATAACGTTGAGGGTTGGTGGGGTTGGGTAGCTGAGAGTGATAAAGAGCCAGAGAGTAGCGTTGAAGAATTGAGGACTAATGCTCATAGGTTACTTTGGGAAGCAATCGACTACGTAATCTGCCTTGAAGCAGATGCATTCATTGCTGGATTTGATCGCGATGGGAAAGGACACCCGAATCTTGCTAGCTTGGTAATGGGGCATAGGCTTTATCAGTTTCCTGCGTCTAGAACATACAGGCCAGACAGGTAACTTTTCGGTTCTCTTTTTATATTCTATGTTTGCAAGCTCTTACATTGGAATTTGTTTTAGGCTTTCTTTGTTGTCTTTGCATTGCATCGTTGTATATAGATCATGGAAAACGCGTTTTTGTGTCATCCATTCTTGATTTTCACAGACTGAAATGCCATTATTCTTTGTGCCCGTGAGTGCCAATTTCTTGTTCTACATGTGGGTGCAGAAAGGCAATTGTGGAGCATTTTGATGCGATTAAGGATCATTTATATCAGGTCAACCATACTTGGATATCATCCATAAGAAAGAGCTTGAGAAAAAGTTTGGTCGATGGATTGATGAAAGAATCCAACAGAACCAAACCCAAATCTCTTCTCGCCTTTCCCATTCAAGAGTGTTCTTGTGTCGGGCATGAATCCAGTACCGAGAGGTCATTCCAAACCCCGAGTCTTTCGCCCCGTTCTCACCTTTATGCTTCTCTCGGAGTTCTGCAGCGCTGTCCTGGATGGATGGATGCCAACGCCATTTCTCAGTCAAAGGATGAAAGTGAAGACGACGACCCTCGTGAAGATGACTCCGTGTCTTCTGGATTGTTGTTTCAGCACAGCAACGATGGTCGCGAAGGTGATAGTGGAGATATCATAAGCAACAAAGAAGAAGGTCTAATGGAGGATGAAGACGAAGTCGAGGGGGGAGAAAAATGAGCAGAGGAAACATACGTGTGGAGGCCGGAGATAGCATGCTATCTCAACTGCCCCGAATACTTTCGAGCAAGGTCTAGCTTCTGTGGTTCATGTTCAGTTGAGTTACCATGATTTACATCCTCCCAGATGCTCTGTCGTGCCGGGGTGTGGGGGGCCTTAGGGTTGGGGTTCAACCTTTTGGAAAGAAATTTATGATTTTAAGTGACTTCTTGATGGAGTTGATGTGCTAACTAGCTTCCTCCATGTACTTTCTCAATGCAGATGAGAATCTCGTTAACGAGGAGATGCCTCTAGGCTCTAGCTGATCCAAATCGGTTTCAATCGTTTGGACCATTCGAAAAACTTGAAGATCCAACCAAAAGAACACAGACAGGCGGGTAAAATTCTTCATTTTTTTCATTTTACATCTAGGATTTTCACGGAACAAGTGAGATCTTTATATGCATCACTATTAGATTAATGCTTTGTTTAGTCTCGACTCTAAAGATAACACCATGAAGGACAAATTTGTTCACACGTGAACGACTTGAACTAGCTAGTCCGAATGCATATAGGCAATAACCCGATATCTAGTATAGTAATGTATAATACTAACATACAACACTTACAAGCTAGTTGGTTTGTACGGGTTGGGGGACTTCACTTCCAGGGGAAAATTGTGAGGTCCAGACCGACCTAAACTGATGCCAACCTGGTTGACCCGATCTTCTCTTCACACTCTAATTTAAACTAAGCTAGCTATTAGTAGTACTGTTTTAAGAACCTGATTAATCTGACGGCTCGTGGTTGTTAATTGGTGGTTTTCGACGAGGCCTGCCATGGCCACCATAGTCCCTGCGCATGAGCTGATAAACCTCATACGTTGCCTGAAGAAATGCTCGCGATTCAGCTCTACTGGAAACCGATTTGCCTGGCCCGAGTTTCTGCTGGAAACCATTGCAGCCATTTCTTCCTCCTAGCCCTTTTCTCCCATAGCCAAATCCCTGAAACAAATCCCCATCAGCAGCATTTCATTAAGTTCAACATTAAAAAAAAAACATTTGAGGAAACATACATCACAGTTAACCAATTCCTGTTCTCCCCGGTTTTCCTTCCCCCCGGGGGCATGAGCATTAGCAGAACAAAGGCGCTCAAGAGCTAGCAAACTAATGACGAACACTAGTATTAGCCCCGCCACCCTGAACCTCGTGGACGCCATTCTCGAGTGAAGATTTTCTTGCTTACAAGTACAGTGAACACTGATTCTTCTCATTAAAGCAAAAATGAATTGAAGCAAGTAAAACTGTGGGGGGTTTATAGAGCCAGGCAGGGTCAATGCCTGGGCTCCGACATCTGGCTTATTCTAATGTTGCTCCCAACTGCATGCAGAGCTCGGAAAACTAAATCAGTTAAAATATTCAAAAACCCTGCAAAAACAAACTTGTTGGACTTGATTCTTTGTTTACCGTACACTGTATAATAATAAAGATATAAAAGTTACTCACTTTTAACTGTTGTAGAGAATACATATTTACCCAACTTGAAGAACAGTTGTACAAAAATGTCTTGTCTCTGTTGTCAGTTTTAAAGACAATTATAATGAGCTGTATTGTGTACATCCACACACACAAAGAATGTGTCATGTGTGTTTATATATATACATCAAAATGAAAATGATTACATATTTACATCCCAATCTCGAAAGTTTTACCTACCCTGGAACTCTATAAAGAAATAAATCACTAGACGTGCTTTAATTTCTTGATCTTAATGACGAGAAAAACCTGCAATCACTATTCAAGAGTGTGCATTGGATAAACTATCTTATGATCCTAGACGGCAAATGACCTTAAGGAGGTAAACTAGCCTAGATAGCTCATAGCTTACCGGCTCAAACCAATAAAGTTAATAGGCCCTCCTGAGAGTTAAGCACTACTGGAAATTATGGAATTTCCGACCACCTGAAAGTGATCTTAAATCAAGTTAATACCAAAAAGTGGTCGGAAGTAGCAACAAAGGTTTTTCCGGATACCAAAAGTGGTCGGAACAAGGCTTTCGACTTGATTTAAGATCACTTTCAGGTGGTCGAAAATTTCATAATTTTTAGTAGTGAAACTTGTAATCTTATAATTACCAAATCAACAATCTGACTAACTCGGTTAAGATTGTCACTTACAATCGACAGTTTCTTGACCTTGCATCATATGATTGTTAGCGAAACAGAGTTATCGTGAAATGTGCTTTTACAATCTACAAGTATTGATGAATCAGTTGAGCTGTATATCTAAAATCGCGCACAGAATTCGAGATTTGGTCCCTCCTTTCTCAGTGGTCACGCCTGCATGAAAACAGAGCCGATCTGGTGTCTCCAAGTACCAATGTTTTGTCTCTCAATATAATGATAATTATTACAGAGAAACATTTTAGTTTACCATAAACTAAGTAATGGGCTGGGTGGAAGAATCTTGAAGTGTTGTCTTAGGAAATAAAGCACCAACCGACCTTAACGTTGTCATCTCCTCACAGACAAATTATAGTCATATCTATTCTTTGTTCACTTTGGGTAAGATTAATAATGTCTGCTCGACCCAACTTTCTACAAAAGGAATATCTAACCATTAACCAGTAAACCGACCATGGGTTCTGTATATATACATCTATATATACATATGAGAATGAGATTCTACCTTTCTGCAGATAAAGTTAAAAGACGCTGCACCATCAATCAAGAACAACACCAACCTGCAGAAAGAGATGAAGACTCATCTGCATTTTGATGATTGTGTTCACATGCATGCCACGATAATGATGATTACTTTTTAAAGCATGGTTAGTCAGATGGATTCTGAGGTAATCAAGAAAGCATCCTTGCATATATACCAAGAAAAGATTCTGTCTTGATAACGTTGTACAATGCTCCTATTATTTTTGAGTGACAAGAAAAATAGAGTGTGCAAATAAATATTGTTTTATAACTTTAGTCTAAGTAATTACAAGAAGGAGTTAGTAACCAAAATGGTCCCTCGATTATGCCGTAATTACCAATTTGATCATCGATTATCATTCTTACTCAATTAAGTCCTCAACTATATAATTTTTATCCAATTTAGTCCTTTGTTAATTTGACTATTTGTTGACTGTCAAAAGTAGGGATAAAGTTGTAATTTTACAAGTTTTCTCCTTCCTCCTCATTTAGCAGCGCCAAACCATGCAGGAATAAGCTCCGGTCAGCTTCCAAACTTGTTAGTGTCGAAGCGCCAAACCATGCAGCAATAAGCTCCGATCGGCTTCCAAACTTGTTAGTGTCGAAGCAGTGGTTGTGCATCGAAGAGCCCAAGGATTTGATTTTCAACGATTTTTTAACGATCGAAAGCTGATCGGAGCGTATTGCTGCATGGTTTGACGCTGCTAAATGGAGAGGAAGGAGAACGCTTGTAAAATTACAATTTTATCTCCATTTTTGACAATCAACAAACAGTCAAATTAACACAGATTGGATAAGAGTTCCATAGTTGAGGACTTAATTGAGTAAGAATTGCATAGTTGGGGACTTAATTGGGTAAGAACTAAGAATGGTAGTCGATGACTAAATTAGTAATTACGGCATAGTCGAGGGACCATTTTAATTATTAACTCTTATAAGAAGATAAACTAGTGAGGTTATTCATAGTAGTGAGGTTATTCATAGTTGATCGGCTCAAATTAACAAGGTTAACAAATTTTAGCAGTGCAAAAATGGTATATTTACTGACAAACCTCCCCATTCAAAGAAACATTTCTTCAAACAGCTACTGTGCATCAGTTTCCTTGAAACTACTATACATAGAAGAAGTGAAGAATCAAAGTTTTCGCGTCTGAGGTTACAAAGATTTCATAGAAAAGGGTGTTGCCTACTTGCCTTAATGATGGTTGTCAATCTCAGTCGGATTTAACACGAGGAAATGTCGGAAACCAAACCTTAACTCTTCTGTGTGTCTGTTCTGCGACTAGCATTTGCGTGTTTCCTTTCTATCGTTGTTCGATGAAATATAGTGTGCTTGTGTACTACCTTTAGCATACATCCTAGTTGTTTAGCTCAAGAAAATCTTGTTGCAACAACTACCATAGCTGGCCAAGTTCAAACTTTTTTTTTTTAAATAAAAAAGTATTAGTTAAATCAATTTCGGATAATCAACATAATTTTAAAAGTTTCACAATCAGAGGATAAACCCCTTGCTAACCACAAAGGACACCTGGACTTGACTGAGAATGTGTTGACAATAATTAAATTGACTATACTTCCACTGCACTCTTTTTGGAGCTATAATTTTAAAGTTTTATATTTAGAAAAATTAAATTTTTGATCCTTTAATTATAATCTATCCACAACGCGTCTTCTTTCAAACTGTTTCACTGTCGATCGGTGACGAATGAATTGAAGAAAAGAATCGGCTTGATGTTAATATTCATACAATGTGAATAAGATATCGTTAGTATTTTTTATATTAATAAAAAATTTATATTTTAATTTTGAAATATAAATACTTTAAAATTTATAAACTCTTTGAAATTTTACCCTGTCCTAACAAAAAAGTCTATGTGTATAGAGTCATATAGTGTATGATTGTTATTAAAATTAAAAATAAAATAAAAGATGAAACCAGAGTAAACCGACGGGACTTAATTACGGCTTTATTTTGCGGTGAATATAGTAGCTGGCCTGGGATGGACGGTGATTAAATTATTTCTAATTTACTATGGCCCTAACATATGATCGGCGAAGAATGACAAACCTTATCCGGTTGGGTTAAAAATTATTACTCCGTACTTTATATTAATTATTATATATTTAGGATTATGTAGAGCTAAATGTCAATATTTTTAGTTTGTACCTCCATGCGTGTTTAAAGTTTAAGTTTAGACACTGACTCTGTTACAATGTAATATTGTAATTTATTATATTTTTTTAATCTATTAAAGGTAACAAAGAGTCAATGTTTAAATTCACAACCTCTCATATGAAAGTGTAACTTGGTGTCATTAGACCAAAAGGCCTTGACAAAGTTTAGCTTTCATTCAATTAAGGAATAGAAAATCCTACTTTTTTTTTTTTCATATAAAGTTATCTTTGTTAGTTTTGTGTCTACCAAAGTAGTCAGCCGGCGAGCCAACCACATGAAAAAGTAATAGTAAGAGGGTTCTCTCAACTCTCATGTAATTAAAATTGTTTAACCCCTTTTTATCGAGCCTTCTCAGGCCTTTTATACATGTATACAAGAATGATTAAGCCGCTCACCCTGTCATCAATGCTATACATGAAGCTATAAACGCCTTAATCATGAGAGTTCATGTCCATTTTCCGTCCCCTCCGCGTCGGATTGCCTTCCATAACAGTAGCCCTCATTATTGACATTAACTTATCACTGATTACCCTCATGACTCCGCTCTCGCCGAGTGCTCGGATTACTCTTCTCACTGTCCCCCTCCGCGCGGCTCCGCTCCTTTACGCAATCAATCTATCTTGACTCTGTGCCGACCAGTTAACTCAATCAATCATCTGATCTAGGACGTGCTGGCTCCTTCCACCTCCCCGCTTACCTGTTGCCAACTGTCTCTCTTAGTTAACTGGTTTCCTTTATTACAACTCCCTTTCTCGACCATTTAGCAAGCTTCACGAAGACCGATTAGTGCACCCGTTATTCCAATTATCTGATTGACTCTACTATCTATGTTGCTTGCTCTAATCATCTAACTAACTTGATCATTCGACTCCGTCTGGTAGATTGGTTAATCATCTCATCCATCAAATTATTATTGTCTCCTCTATCTAATCGAGGCATGATGTTGCTAATCCAACTCCTTTAGTTATCTTGTTTTTTTTTTTTTTTTGTTTATCCCTTCGACCGCTTATGCCGCTTTATTTTGCCTTTAGCCAACTTGGTTGTTTGCCCTTTACTATACTCTGTCCAATTTCATCACCCGTCTTCTTCGTTGTTCTGCCTCCCAACCTCAGTCTTTCGAGCCCATGTTCGTATCCCACCAATCTTTTTGTGTATAGTTGTCAATCAATATAGTTCTGGGTAGTTTTATAAGGAAATAAATTTGGAAAGAAGAGTACATTTAAAAAAAAAAAATTGTAATGATGAAAAAATATTGTTATAATAAATATAAATAAAAGAAAAACGACAAATAGACAATAACATATAAGTAGATAAAGTCATATTCAGTTACTAAAATTATAAAGTTTTTTGTTAGGATTGTAAATTCCCCATAACAATTTTTTTTTTTGGTTTTTGTTTTTAGATGCATGTAGTCAAATGACTATTGCCAAGATACATTACTAAGGCTATTTTCGTCTTTGTAATCCTTTTTCACTTTCAAAATGTCATATCATTAAATTTGTAATTATTTATTATTTACTATTAATCCATGCAATTCTTTCTCATCTTTCAACAAATGATCAAACTATCACTTATCATATAAAAGATTTTTTATTTTCTTAATAATATAATTCTAATAATAATAAAATATACTCCATATATAAAAGGCCAAAAAGTGATATTGCAAGCTGGTGCAATTTTGACTTGTCAGACCATATATAAAAGGCCAAAAAGTGGTCTTGCAAGCTGATGCAATTTTGACTTGTCAGAATTGCAAGAGCTGGCATTTTTTTATTAATAATAAAAAAACTTCCATGTTGGATTGCAATGCACATACTTACAATCGTGTGGATGGCATAAGCTAGTACAAATTAATAGAGATATTATAAATGAGACAATATAACATAATGATATCATATCAGAAGGCTAATATATACTATCTATGTTAGATTCAAGTTGATTAGGTTATAATAACATTTTGCAAGTGTAATGGTGTAACACTATTTGGTTTGAAGTTATACTCTATTAGTTAGATTTGTACAATAATATATTCAGAAAGGCTATAGTGATTGATGGGGGTTATAAGACAATTCAAGTGATTCAATAAATTCTCAATTGATTAACTATAATAAGGTTATGGATTGATAAGGTGGAGTGATAAAATTCTGAATTGGTTAACTAAAATTTAAATTTTTTGAAGGTAACTAAAATTTAAATTTGAAAACGAACAAGTTAAATTTTTAAATAAATAGGGAGTAATTTTGTATTCATTTCGGGTCGATCGGAGTCCGGACGGGTCCAAGCAAGTCAGAAAGCTGTCATTCAACCGTTGGAGTGTAGACAGTCTAATCCAGCCGCTGTTTGACTATCCCAAACCTGTCATTTTCGAAACCTCCAACTCCCCATTCCCAAATAACTCGCCCGCCATCACGGACCGGAGCTCCGGAGCTCACCCCGCCGTACTCTCTCTCTCTCTCTCTCACCAGTCACCATTACACGAAACCCTAACCGTCACGTGTTCCGGAAATACCTCCGTCCAGTTACCTATCATCGTTGTCTGTTCCTCCGCTACACTCCCAATCACACCTGCTTCCAGAAATCCTGTCCGTCCATTTCAGCCGCACATTGTTGTGTGCAAAACTGCTTTTTATAGAAGGCCTTGAGTAGATACCAATTTTTCTATATCTGTATCTGTTGGTATATGCATTTATAGGGTTGGTGGTGACAAGGATGGGGGCGATGACGTCGTCGGTGGCGGCACGGTTTGCGTTTTTTCCGCCGAATCCGCCGTCTTATGAGGTGGTTTTGGAAGGATCCGCCGCGAAATTGAAGATGACGGAGGTGGAGGAGAGGGAGAACGTGGATGTGCTGAAGCTGGCTACCAAGAGAGGGACGGAAATTGTGGCGGTTTACGTCAGGAATCCGGCGGCGAAGCTAACTCTGCTATACTCCCACGGCAACGCTGCTGATCTGGGTCAGATGTACGAGCTGTTCTGTGAATTAAGTCGTCATCTCCGCGTCAATCTGATGGGGTATATCAAATTGTTTCTCTATTAATCATCAGTATAATAATAATATACTCCTATTTAGTATGGATATTTGCATTTCTTTTGTGATCGTGAATGCATAGGTGCTGGGTCAGATTGTCAGAATGAAATTTGAACCGTTTTCTGTTAAGTCAAGTAGTTAACTGTCAATTTGCTGAAACAAATGCTTTGCCTGCTGCTGGTTTTCAATTTGTAGTTTACTCTAAGGCGATTAGCCATCCAGCTGGAGCTCCTTATAGTTGATATATCTGTGTAACTTGAGATATAAACTTCTGCTATCTTCATTTAGATTGTCTTTAGTTTCATCCTAAGCTCTTTTGAACCTTTGTGACATCAGAACTGAGTGGTAGTTGATATGCTTTTGTGGGAGTTTGATCTTGTGCATAACCTCCTGGAACATATTAGAGAAGTTTTGGTTAAGAGAGGTGGTTGTGTTTAGTTATGCAGAGTTGGATGAAGTGGTAAGGAAAGGGTGTGGGTGCATATTCCGTTTTGGAAATCTGTTTAAGCTTTGCAAGGAATTTCATTGATATGTGTTTGGTTATGTAGAGTTGGATGAAGTAGCAAGGAAAGGAGTGTGCATATTTCATTTTGGAAATTTGTTTTATATTGCAAAAAATTTTATTGATATGTGAAGGGAAGAAATATTCCTAATATGGTGTTGGTTTCCCTTTGTGTTTTTCCTTTCCATTTCTAGTGAGGTTCAAATTATGAGATATGTTTCTTCTCCCTTGTAGGTATGATTATTCAGGGTATGGACAGTCCTCCGGCAAGGTAAGTGAGAAACAAATAGATTAGTATGTGTATTCAAGGATGTTAAGACGATAGACAATAGTCGATAGATGCTGAACTCTATTTATTTTTCTTTAGCCAAGTGAGGAGAACACTTATGCTGACATAGAAGCTGCATATAGATGTCTTGAAGAGACATATGGTGTGAAAGAAGAAGATATAATATTATATGGTCAGTCTGTTGGCAGTGGACCAACTATAGAATTGGCGTCTCGCTCACCAAGGTTAAGGGCTGTTGTTTTGCACAGTCCAATAATGTCTGGGCTGAGAGTAATGTATCATGTGAAGCGGACATATTGGTTTGACATATATAAGGTTAGTATTCTTACAAGGCACTTATGTAGTGCATTTTATATGGTTACGACTTTTAAATTGAGAACTAACTGATTTTTTATTCATACTTAATTGTCTTTTTTTGTGATGCAGAATATTGACAAGATACCTTTAGTTGAATGCCCTGTTCTAATTATACATGTGAGTGTTCATATCTACTCTTGGATTTCTTCACATAAACTTTGGCTGGTAATAGGTAATAATGTAATATCCTATAAGAATGTGAAAAATGAATGGATTGTCCATTTTTGTTTCTTGGAAGTCAGGCGCTATTGTAACCAACCTTTTTATTCTACAGCTTTGCTTAATGATAAAAAATAAAAAATTTGCAGACTAACATGCTGTTACCTGTTTCTTCTTTCCTTTTAGGGAACTGCTGATGATGTTGTGGACTGCTCCCATGGAAAGCAGCTTTGGGAACTTTGTAAACAGAAATATGAACCACTATGGGTTAAGGGTGGTAATCACTGTGATTTGGAGCTCTACCCTGAATACATTAAACATCTAAAGAAATTTGTCTCAGCTATGGAGAAATCATCACATTTAAAAGATGTATTAGTACCATGTATTGAAATTATAGACAATCCTCGAAACAGCACTGATTGTAGACCCGGGCAAAGCAGTGGTCAGGCAACGAATTCTAGGCCAAGTACAGAGAGGAGGGAGAAGCCTAAAAGAAGCATAGATTGCAGAGAAAAATCAAGAGCTAGTGTTGATAGGAGAGATAAAACACGCAAGAGTGTAGATCATGCGGAAAAGACAAGTAACAACACAGAACCATCAGAGAAAGCAAGGAACAGCATAGACCGGTAGGATTAATTAATTGGTTAAAAATGTGCCTTTCAACTTTCATCTTTGTCTAAATACTTCATTGGTTGTATAAATACAAAAATTAAGAATTGGGATCCCCATTGTTGCAGCTTCGGTGGAATGATGAGATCAGCTGTATTGTGCCATATTGACTGCTTCAAACCGGTGGGAGCGAAGGTCTCAGGATAGAGGAAAAGGTCAGTTGTGTGTAGCAGTAGACTTCTTTGGTTACTCTAATTTTTTATTTACTTGTGGACTGATTGGCTGGTGGGATATATCCTTCCACTCTACTCTATGCTGTTAACTTTTATTGGCAAATAATGTATTTCTTTTTATTCTTCCAATATTTGAATCATATCCCTGATGTGTGTAGCAGTAGACATCCATGTTATAAAATCAGTTTGTCTATGAGGAAACTGCAACATATCCCTGATGTGTATTCTTACCTGTTTATGCTCGTCTTGGTTGGTATGAAAACATGGCCTGCTCGAAACTGGTCACAGGATTTTACCTGGTTTTTCGCCCCCATAAAAGCCGCCTCCCAAAGGGGAGCAGGATGTGCGCAATGCTCAAGTTGCCTGAAGCTGGTTGAAGATGTTATGAATTTTGAAATTGTTCATCGCATTGTATTCTGCATTTGAATTGGTTCGTCGTCCTCGTGTACCCTTTGTGTTGAATCACTGGAATTTCAGCATATGAACATTGATTGTTAATTATGTGGATTACACGTTTCACTTATTACTACTACTATTATTATTATTATGTGGACAAAGAGTACAAAAATCAAGACCATTTGTAAGTAACAAAACGAACCAATCCGTTCGAGGATCATAAAAATATAGTGAAATATAATTCTTGTTAACATTGATTGAATCTATCACACAATTTTTAAAATATGATTTACTTTTCCTGTGTGGAATTTATTCATGATTCTTGTATCAAAAATCTAAATGTCATAATTTCTCAACCTGTTGAAGCACAAAAAGTGAATACTGCTTTCATCTATACTTTCTTAATCTGTCAAAGCACAAAAAGTCAACATCGCTTCTACTGAGACTCAATTTTATAATCTTTATAAAAGTCACTACATATCATCTGAGTACAAAATGCTTGGTTATTGTTGCAAAATATAATTTTTCTTATATAATTTGTTAATTATTATTGATAAGAAAAGTTTATCATGTTTCGAATAAACTTGCCGATATCTCCAGAAAACATATGTTGAATAATAATTTCTTATAAAGTCGGTCGGCTTAAAATTACAAAACCCGTTTACCATTTCGGACCTATACACAAACAAAAGATCCGTAAAAACGCATACCAAATTACTCTGTAATTACCAATACCCGCCCGCATGGTTTAAGGAGGGTTTAGAGCCGGGCGGCTATTCTGCACCCGCCCAAATAACAGTTCATTTCTGCCGCCGTTGTGATGAATTTATGTAAGCATCTCGGGCTCGCTTCGAGTCTTTGACCCAATAGTGTTCAACCCAGTTTCACTTCGTCACTGATTTTCTTTCGCGCATTTCTTCAAGCATTTTGATGTCCCACACCAAAGCCCCCATTTCTGTCAGCGTAAAATTCGATCGCTTCATTGATAAACCCTCGGCCAAAGCCTTAAACCTCTGTAGTTATTCTCCCGCTATGTGGAGAAACATAGCCAAACAAATCTCTTCGAAAGCGTTACAGAAGCACAACCTTTCTCTCAACCCAAAGAGTCGTTATAATCGTACTTCCAGCTTTCTTAGCTTTCCCCAAGGTTCAAATTTTCCTGAGAAATTAGTACAGTTTAGCCCTTTTGATCCTGTCCCTTGCTCGAATAATGGCTCTACGGAATTTGGCTTTCGGAAATTTGGCGAATTTTTGCCTCGGGACGAGTTCTTGAGCAGACCAGTTTTGCACAGTTTGATGAGCTCAGGGTATATCAGTGGATTTTCCTGGAAGAGTTATGCTAGTGTAGCTGAAGCTGTTGAGGTTTTGTCCAGTGAAGCCGAAGAAAATGTGTCTGTAACTGATGAGGTTGAGGAATTGTTGACGGAGATGAGAAGAGAAGAGAGGAAACAGTTCTATTGTGAGTGGCGGAAGCGGCAGAGGGTATCTAGAGGAATGGGGCGATGGAAGTATCAAGCCCTTAAGAGAAGGCAGATAAAGATTGAGACTGAGGCGTGGGAGAAAGCTGCTAAGGAGTATAAGGAACTTTTGGAAGATATGTGTGCTCAGAAGTTGGCACCTAATTTACCATACATGAAATCACTTTTTCTAGGGTGGTTTGAGCCTTTGCATAACAAAATTGCAGAAGAACATGAGCTTTATCTGGCTGGGAAAACAAAAGCAACCTATTTTAAATACTTTAGTCAGTTACCTGCAGATATGATGGCAGTTATCACAATGCATAAGTTGATGGGATTATTAATGGCTGGAGGTGAATTTGGCGCCGGAAAGGTGGTGCATATTGCATGTGCTATAGGAGACGCAATTGAACAGGAGGTTGGTTGACTTAAAAAGAAATTTCCTGTCTAATTTTTATTTCTATGTTTTCGAAAGGCTGCCAATCATTCTTGGTCGTTACCTATATTAATTAGTTCCCTTTTGTATCAGGTTAGGATATATAAAATTTTGGAGAAAACAAGGCAGAGTAAAATTAATAAAGATGCAAAAATGGAAGGAGAAGATCATGAAGGTGTTACAGAAGGCAAAGAGAAACTAAAGAAAAAAGTAGCTAATTTGATAAAGAAACAAAATCTACGAGCAGTGAGACGAATAGTGGGAGGTCAGGATGCTTTCAAGCCATGGGGTCAAGATGCTAAGGCTAAGGTAGGTTATAATTATCTCCTAAAAGTTAATTATTTGGCTCTATAGATGTACTGAATTTCTTAATGTTGCTTACCTGTCAGGTTGGAAGCCATCTGATTGAATTGGTTTTGCAAACAGCCTATATACAACCTCCAGCCGATCAATTTGCTGATGGTCCACCAGATGTTCGACCTGCTTTCATTCATACATTTAGGACTGTCACTAATCAAGCAAAGTAACATTCTTTTTCCCGCCAAGTTGTGTGTATTTTCTTTCATTTATTTAACTCAACATGTTGCTTCAATTTTCTTCTATAGGGGTGGTAGCAGAAGATATGGTGTTATCCAATGTGACCCTTTGGTCCTTAAAGGTCTTGAAAAAACTGTGAGTAGTTCAACTTGCTCAGCTAGTTGGCAGAGTGCTGGACTCTTTTGTTCATTTTGATGTGCAACAGTACAACAAAGTTTTTCTGATTAGCTGTTGGGATTTATTGTCTATAAAATAGTACTTCTTATTCTTTCAGTAGTTTTTACAGCCTTTGTTTATATTTATTTCACCACCTCATCAGTTATGCTCCATAATACTCTTTACTCTTGCAAGCAGGCCAGGCACATGGTAATTCCTTATATGCCAATGCTAGTGCCTCCAATCAAGTGGAAAGGGTACATGAAATTCTGCCCCATTTCCTCTCTCTTTTACTCCTTACAATTTTCTTTTTTTTCCATCATCTTCTTTCCTCTAAGTAAGCAACTTTTCACCTAACATGGTTTTTTTTTTTTTTTTTTGCTTATTATCACTATTCTGTAGTTATGACAAGGGTGCACACCTTTATTTGCCTTCATATATCATGCGGACACATGGAGCAAGACAGCAAAGAGAAGCTGTCAAGAGAGCCCCTAGGAAGCAGTTAGAACCTGTATTTGAGGTTTTGGGAATCTTCTCTTGTCAATCTTCAATTTAAGGTGATAAATATTCTCTCTATTCAATCTGATAATTAAACTTTATCATCTGTCCTTTTTTGTCCAGGCACTGGATACACTTGGAAGTACGAGATGGAGGATAAATAAGAGAGTACTATCTGTTGTTGATAGAATATGGGCTAGTGGTGGGCGTCTTGCTGATTTAGTTGACCGTGATGATGTGGGTAGCTCTCTTAAAACTTGATTCTTTATAGTTCCTGTAAAATGTAGCTTAGAATTTTTTATGTTTAAGTTTATCAAACAACTGCTGCAATGATTCTCTTCTCCACAATTTTGTGTGTGCATACATGTCAATGCAGATCCCTTTGCCAGAAGAACCAGATACAGAAGATGAGACAGTACTTAAAAAGTGGAAATGGAAAGTTAAAGCAGTCAAGAAAGAGAACAGAGAAAGGCATTCACAGCGATGTGATATAGAGCTCAAACTTGCTGTAGGATTCAATGATGTGTTTCCTACTTTCCTGTTGTTTATTGCTTGTGCTATCCAACTAAGCTTGACACCTATATTGCGGAACAGGTAGCACACAATATGAAAGATGAAGAAGGTTTCTTTTACCCCCACAATCTTGATTTCCGTGGTCGCGCATACCCTATGCATCCTCACCTTAACCATCTGGGTTCTGATATCTGTCGGGGAATCCTAGAGTTTGCTGAAGGACGTCCTCTTGGAAAGTCGGGCTTGTGTTGGCTGAAGATACATTTGGCTAATTTATATGCTGCTGGTGTGGAGAAATTATCTCTTGAAGGTCGACTAGCCTTTACTGAAAATCACCTGGATGATATATTTGATTCAGCTGACAGACCGCTTGAGGGAAAACGCTGGTGGTTGAAAGCAGAGGATCCATTCCAGCTTTTAGCTGTATGCATTAATCTCTCTGAAGCCTTGAGAAGCTCATCTCCAGAGATGACCATTTCACATGTTCCTGTGCACCAGGTAATTATTTAAACAGAAATAGTATCAGCTGTGTTTCAGTTCTCCAGGCATATTTGGAAATGACTCAAGCAGTATGCACATATTGAAAATGACCTATTGCCCTGAATCTTCTTGTTATCCAAAAATGTGTCAAAATAGGAATGTGCTTGCTGAAATGCACTTATTTAAGTTGTTTATCTAAACTTGGACTTAGTTTCTTCCCCAGAATTATAAATAAATTTTATGAATTTTGAGTATCTTTTACCAGTTCAGTTCGACTTTTCTCAGGATGGTTCTTGCAATGGTCTGCAGCACTATGCTGCTCTTGGAAGAGATAAGGTAGCAACAAATTTTATAGATGAGTAATTAATTATGGGTTTAGCTTGTTACTTATCAGATATTTAGCATGTATATATGAAGTTCACTGGAATGGTGGATTGGATATGGGATAACATTGTCATTTTCATAACAGCAGTCTTTCACATTTAAACCAGTTCCCAATCTCCCATTGACCTTGCTTATTTTAAGTGCTGTTAGCTTTTCTGTTTTCACTTTAGTAGTTACATTTCTTATCAATGATCATTTATTCAGTTAGGAGCAGTTTCTGTCAATCTGGTAGCAGGAGAAAAGCCTGCGGATGTTTACTCAGGCATAGCAGCCAGGTAACCTTTCTTTTTTGGTCATACACATTTTATTGCCAAGTGTTAGAAGTGAATAGTTTAGCTGGTTAGGGATGTGAAGGGCCATGGCATATGAAAAGTCCTGGGATGTGAAGGGCCTTCTACAGTATGTTTAGCATGTATATATATGGCAGTGTGTAGTTGAAGGGAGAAGTAAGAGAAATATATAGAAAGTTTTATTTCTTAACCCAAGCAACTTTTCTATACTTGGAACTGTGAGTTCCTTTGCTTTTACTTTTCACTTTTTATATAACAAGCCAAAAATTATTTAGGACCTATTGCTAAGGATAATGGAGTTGATATTTGGTTACTACCATTAACAAACTAGGGAACTAGCTTCACCTGTGCTTAATTCCAGGAGGATAGACACCAAAATCCTAACAGTGAGCAGACT